GAAACGCAGTTAAAATGAGACAATCTGTGGTACCACCCGTGTCGTATGTCATCATTCACGCAACATGTGTCCTCTTAGCACGGCTTTTAGAAATCGCACCTATTAACACTGTCATTTTAATATTATGTATTAGCATAGTATTTAGTGATCACACGCTCATCACTATAATAGATATAACATATAGTATACAGCACATTCAGAATGACATATAGGCCTTGACAGCTTTAATACATTATCTACCACATGGTAATATGTGGCCTTCAAGTTTTGACATACAATGATACGCGACATGAGGGACGCCACTCGGGATAATCTCAAACGATCCACGATCGAAAAAGGAAAATTTTGACTTTAACACTCGATACAAGAAATCGCAGTCCTGTTGGTGTCACACGAACGCACAAGGCAGACGTGCGGTGTTACATAGCTGTATGGTACAAAGTTGTAACACCGGCCAAAGTTTGAAACAAGGAGATGCGCAATCAGAAGGACCGAAACGAGTATAACTTTTCATGCACCCGTCTTAATGTGAACGGCCGCTAGCAAGTGGCCCCCATTCCATGATGAGGTCTCGAATGTCGAGATCAGGTAGCAGTAGCCTTAACGAGGATAACTCAAAATAGTTTGTAAAGTATCAGAAAAATAACAGCGTATACGCAATTTTTCAATTTCACATGGGATGCAATGGCTTTGTAAATGGTACACAAACTGGACTGGAGTAACTAAGGGTGCATCATCGCACTTGCAAAAACAAACAAGAAAAAAACCTAAAATAAAAGTAATCCGAATAACTCCATATGTTTTACATAAACTAGCTTACATACACTTTATAAGATATTTATTGACAGCACTCTATGAGATATCTTACTAATCCACATATACACGTACAAGCCAGAATAAGATTTCATTGCAAGGAAGTGTGAGCGAGATATGTTGTGGAGAGGTGAAGGATGAGCACAGAACTTCGTACTAACGAGACCCAACTCCTTCAGGCTCAGGCTGGTCAAAAACCAATGTACAGTAAAATTGTGTGAAGCCGTGAATAGTGGCCAAATAAGTAATATAAACTAAACCCGTTATTCGCGTAGTATTTACTATTCAGATAACGTTGAGAATATTTAAGTAAGTTCATGACTGCATTTTTTTAAATATCCAGATTATCGTATTTAAAAAAGCAACACAAAAGCGAATTCTAATTTATGTTCGGAGATATTCTCCGATGTAGTGACTTGTAGGTAATCATTCTTAATGCAAGATTCGTTTCTTAAAATCAATATCACCGGATTTAGATAATACAATTTACAATGTTGCGCATTTGATTACCCTATTTTATACCCATAGATAAAACCATATAGACTGAGATGCCCATAAGTTATCTGCTAATGTAATTCTGATAATAATGTCACATTGTTAAACCGCCATAGCCCCGCCTAGTGGCAACACCAATTCATTCTGCGGGACCCAATGCCAACACAGAAGGAGGACATTCAGCATCAAGATGGCCGTGATACTCACTTGGCGCTCTGGCAGTTCAAGACTCAATGCTCTGTTTATAAACAGGTAAGAGAAGATCGCAAATTACCCTAGTGATAGGTGTCTATATAAATGAATGGTGACGTAGGCATCTCAGCAGCCTGACGTTGCCCTGTCGCACCGCCCCGTACTTCACGCGAGACATGAAGGACTAGCGCGAAAGTCCGACATCGGCAATCCGAGGACAGAGTGGACGTCCGTTGGGACATTCCGAGTATATCAGGAACCGCTAAGCGGTATGCGATAATTCACAGGAAAAGAGAGGAGCCGCAGCGAATATTATGTCAACTTAAGAACAACTGCCGAGCGACCGCGAGGTAAGAATTCCTTAGAGAGAACAAGAATGAGGTTCAAGAGGCTGATGACGGAGAAGAGACTGCGAGAGAATAATCGTGCGCAAAGATTGCTAAGGCCTTCTGCGTAGATCTTCCCTTTGAGTTTTGTCAATCGCAAAGCCTCCTCTCAATCCCGAATTGCGTCAAAACTCCGTCAAGACCCTCCGCATCTTCCCCACCGACATACCACTGAAGCAGAATAAATATCCGGAGATCTCCGTCATCGGGTAACGATAATTTTACTCCGGTTATAATCATGACGATCTAGCAGTACATCTCGACTTCACAAAGCAAACCTCACTGCGAAATTCCAGAACACACCGACCGCTTCCGGGAACCCATCTCGTTGCTCAGTTAACAATCCCACTCGAGACAACATATCATATACTCTAGCACAGACAACAACGCAGGATCCTGTAGCACGGCGAAGGGCAGCAAAAGCGTATCGCGTTACACTTTTTACTATAGTTAGCGTACGCGAGAACCACAGCGTGTCCAGCGATCGCATGCATCCTTATTTTTGTGCGCGGACGTTGTTAAGATAACTCTATGGCTCAATATTTCGATTGCGGTGTCGCCTACGCCGCTACGGAAGAATACGGAAGACTTCTCTCCAGCGCAGGACGGGCGCGCACTAGCGGGGCCACTGAGCAATGTGTTTTAGCTGGGCACTCGATGATCGCCTGGGTCCCATAATACTTAGTGGCGGGGTAGTAGCACGGCAGATAACTCAAACGTATGTCCGCACCAAGCGGGCCGACACGAGAAGACAATACGGGTGAACCAACAGTTAAACAAGGGGTGAGAGGGGAACATGGGAGACATCATGACGCATTTAAACGAAGCCGATATACAAGGTCCGCTATAGATCAATGGAAACAGAGAAGCTCACCAAACCTCAGTCAGTCAGATTAATCTTTTAAACTTCTGAAGCTCTAAATGTCGGTAACGTAGAATCTCAACGAAGCTCACTAAGAACAGTAGTTACATCGAGTATCTTTATATATCTAGATTACAACGTCTATAAGTCTAACAAATATTTAATTCTACTCAGGAGCATGATTAAATCGGCAGCTAATCAATAATTTAATTTTTTGTTTTTTCTGTAGATGCTTTTGCTATTTTTTTTTTTTTTTTTTTTTTTTTTGTTTATAAAAAGAGTTTGGCTAGTTTACTAGTAGTAGTATGTAAAGGTAACTAAGTAATATTTAAAGTACGCTGCAGTGTTTACAATTTGGAAATTTACTTCAAATATTTAAATTAGTCCTAAGATTAGCGGTGTACTAATTTAGTCGACATTTTTATAAATGCTTATATCTAATATGCCTTTTCATGTACGCCGAGGATCCGAATTGCAGATACTTTTGGCATTGTCCAGCCATCTTATGAAAAACCAGTGCTAATTCATGTGTGAAGTCCGGCTAAATATAACTGATTAGCTAAAATAAATGAATACGGTTAAAGTGCGCTCGGCGTGAAAACAGATTGTTTATTAAGTATGATTAACGTAATACATCAAATTACGAAGAGTTAGGTAAATGGATAAAGATCATGATTTAATCAATAATTAAGCACAGTGTAATGCACGGCTGCACTGTCCGTGACAAGCGCAGAACACTGCCGAGGTGGAACAACGGGTGAACAGACGGATGAAAATGAGGCCCGGGAGTGAACAACGAGTGAACACGAGTGAAACAAGCGGAAGCTGAACAACGAGAGGACTGGCGCAGGCGGGCAGGTCGGAAACGTATCAAGGAAACAGAACTGCATAACTAGGTCTAAACGCCCCCCCGCTGCAGACCGTGGCAAGGATGAGGGAACAGGGAGAGAACAGAGCACACAGGGCGCACCGGACAATTGCTTCACGACGTGCGACGAGGCGGAGCCGTCGTCCTCTCGCGGTCGCGTAGGCGTGAGAGCGCCAGACAGTTAGAATGGCGAACCACTCTAGACGAAGGCGGGGCGACAGACTTTCAGGATGCCAATGGGACGAGCGGCGGCGGCACTCCCGCGAGCCGTCTCCAGCGGAGCATCCGCGCCGCCGGCACGCCAAAGCTCGGACCACGCTGCCCGACCCCCGCCTCCCGTCCAGCCCGGCACCCCAACCCCGCTCCGCACGGCACGACTGGGGAATTGCGAGTGCTGTGAAAATTGCATAGTATAAAGTATTATAAGGCTACCTTAAAATGCACATTGTTGCTACATGAAACCAACGCCCCCGCACGCCCCCCCCCCCCCTTGACATCATAACCCCCCCCTAACCCACTCGCTAAGCCAAGCCTGCGTGATCAATCTGAGTCAACGAACAACAGCTTTCAATAATAAGAGTCGGCTAACTAGCTAAAATGATCTCTGGTTCGGTCCACTCCAATTCACAGACCACTCGGTTCAAAAGTTCAGTCCCTGCAGCAGAAGGTTTATACCATCTGCTGCAACAGCTGGACAACAGTCAGCGCATCTCAACCAGACCGTTCACTCGCCTCACACATAAAAGTGAATCAGGTGGCTATGCTAATATTGCTAAATGCGGAACGTGCTGCCTGTATTTTGATTTTAACCTCAGACCAGACCCCCCCACACTCTACCTCAGTCCCCGAATCCCCCCCTCTCCCCGCGCCCCCAATCCCGCCCCTCCCACCCCCCCCACACCCCCGACCCCTCCGCCCGCACTCACCCCCCGCCCCCCCCCTACCCCCCCCCCCCCCCCACCCCCCCCCCCCGCCCCCCGGCCCCCCCCCGCTCACCCCCCCCCCCACCACCCCCCACCCCCCCCCCCCCCTCAACCCCCCCCGCGACCCCTCACCACCGCCTCACTTCACTCACCCCACCCCCCCTGCACCCCCCCCCATCACCCCCCCCCCTCCCCCCCCCCTGCCCTCCCCCCAGGACCCCCCCGCGTCGCGTGGACACGGCTGTACGCGCTACGCCGCTGTCAACCGCCTCCTGTCCCTTGGAGCGATCGGCGGGCACCCCCGAATATCCCCGGTGCCGCTCGGGTCGCTGCTATTCCGCGCCACGGCCTACCCTGGTGATCAGCGCGCTCTCGTCTCTTCCGACTGCACTACCCTGGTGCGTCCGCGACCGTGTTGTGGCACGCCCCCGCGCGCGGTCCCCTAGTGCAGCCGGCGCCGGCTCTCCTGGCTGCAAGATTACCCTGTGCCGCGACGGCTTCACTCACGTGCACGGCGTCCTCCTGGTAAGTTCGCCGACGCCTGCCGAGCCGAGCCCGTCCTCCACGGACGAGACTGACCGCCGTCTGCCTTCCGGCCACCGCGCGGCCGCGCGCATTCGTCCTGTCGTCGTTCGTCCGGCTGCAGCTGCTCGCGATGTCGACGCGTCGCTTCACCAGGGGGCAGACGATGGAATGGAGCCTGAGAGAGAACGGAGGACGGTATGATAGAGGGTCGGCTGGAGCGCCAGGTGGCGCCGGCGAGCTCGGCGGCGCGTCGCGAGCCGCGCTGCGTTAATTTGTAGCGGCTGTCGACTCTGGTATACTGACCTAGATGTACACTGCGTTATTATTATTTATTATTATTATTATTATTATTATTATTATTATTATTATTATTATTACGATGCAGATTGGCACTGCGGCGTTTATTTCGATGGACGGGTGGGTTGTGTCCCCGCGCGCATACCCCATGCTATGAATGTCTTACGCGAGTCGGCGGTTTACTGTGAGAGAAGGTGAAGTCTTTGTGCCACTAACAGTGCACTGCTAACGTATGGGGGGAGGGTCGTGGCAGGGGCTACGACAGCTACGCGCTGTATGTGTGAGCTGGGAAGTAGTAGACCACAGCTCAGTACATAGTGTAACAACCACAACGAGTGAAGAACTGACTGTTCACTACCAGTATACACCAGCGAACAATCAGGCGCCAAGGACTGAGAAAGATAGAAAGAGAAAGAGAGAGAGAGAGAGACAAGAGAGAGAGAGAGAGGAAAGAGAGAGACAGAGAGAGAGAAAGTGAGAAGGAGAGAGAGATAAGAATAGTGAAAAGGTAGAAAGAGACAGAGATAGAATAGAGACACGAGAGAAGAGACAGAGAGTGAGAGAAAGAAGCGGAGAGAGAAAAAAGAGAGAGGAAGAAGAAACATTAGATAGCAAAAGAAAGAAGAAAGACAGAACGGACCGACGCGTACACGCGCATAGCGAAACAGACGACAACGCGAGAGAGGCATGCAAGTGACATTCACCGTGCACTCACTGCCTACTAGCGTGGCTCTAACCGTGCTACCGCGTGCACCCCCGCCACCTACCACCTACGCACGCGCGGCGCCGCCGCCCATCGCACGCAAGACCCACGCAGGCGGACGACCTACGCGAGAGGGTCAAAGGTGACGGAGTAGTTGTCGTCGGTGTCGTGTCGGTGTCGGGCGCCGAACACGCGGCGGGCTGTCGTAGCGGACGCTACGCGATCTATCGTCCTTCGAGCTGATGCGCGCGTTGAACCGGGGCTTCTGCAGCTGGCTGCCAGCGTCTCCTCCAGCATGCGAGCGCGTTTCGCCTCCAGGTCTACAATACATGACAAGAGAGATAGAGTAAGGGTACCTAGTACAGTGGGAGGTGAGAAGAGAGAGAGGGGAGGGAGAGAGAGAGAGAGAGAGAGAGGAGCGCTAGTGTCTCCTACCAGCCGCGAGCGATTCGCGCTCCCAGGTTCTACAATACATGGAAGAGAAGGATAGAGTAATAGGTACCGTAGTACATGGGAGGTGAGAGAAGAGAGAGGGGGGGAGAGAGAGAGAGAGAGAGAGAGCGACAGCTGTGTCCTCCAGCAGCCGAGCGATTCGCCTCCAGTTCTAACAAATACACTGAGAGAGAGATAAGAGTAATAAGGTACCTAGTACAGATGGGAGGTGGATACAGAGAGAGATGAGGAGAGATGGGAGAAGAGGGAGAGAGGTGAGAGAGAGAGAGAGAGAGCGGAGAGTAGACGAGAGAGAGAGAAGAGGAGAGAGAGAGAGAGAGAGAGAGAGCGAGAGACAGATGAGCGAGAGTAGAGAGAGAGAGAGAGAGAGATAGAAGAGAGACGAGAGGAGAGAGAGAGAGAGGAGAGAGTAGAGAAAGGTAGAGAGAGAGAAGAGATAGAGAGAGAGGAGAGAGAGAGAGAAAGAGCAGACACTACGCTACTGCTAACTCAAGTCTGACTATACATCGTTGGATAGAAAATTAGACATCGTTGTAATAACGGAAGGTATAAAAAGGGGAAAAGGGGATGTAATATAATTGG